CCCCCCCTCGCTTCCCGCTCCAAACCCAGGGTCTCACGAGTCAGGCGGCGCAGACTGATGACGCGATCGCCCCCCTGCCTTTCCCCGCTGCGCCTCAGCCAAAGCGCCTGCGGCCGCCACCCCGCCCCCTTCCGGGCACCCTTGAGAGCGAGGCGTTTCCCCGCTGCCTGCGGTCCGGCCCTGCCGGGGCCGATGCCCTCTAGCGGCTCAGTGCCTAGAAGCCGCCAAAGAGGACTGCCCATGGCGTCCAGAAGCTTTGACGGTAAGGCTGTCCTGCTTTCCAGGCGGGGCCGTGGGTTAACGAGCACCGTGTGGCGCCACCTCGCGGAGAGCGGTCGCGGGGCCGGGCTAGGAGAGCCGGGGGGCGGGGAGAAAGGAGGAAGCTGAACCGACCGCGAGGACTCGGGCTCGCTGGAGGGATTGAGAAAAAAATACATTTCCCAGAGCCCTACGGGGCTTGAAGCGGGCGGAAAAGGGAGCCGGAAGTCCGGTGCAGGTCCGGGTCAGAGGCCGCCTCTGAACTCGTCTTCCCAGGGTGCGCAGTTTCCAGCGGGTGCGCGCGCAGTCGGGCGCGGGCACAGTGGCGCCGCTGGTGCCGCGGCTAACGCAAGACTCGATTTCCCAGGGTCCCGCCGCGGGAGCCTCCGGCGGGCGGGCGCGCGGGAGCCACCGAGCGAGGTGACAGAGGTGGCCGCCCAGGCTTCGGGGTCCTCCTGGTCTCCGTCTTTCTTCTCCGTTTCTGCTCCGTCGGCCGCTGCCGCTGCGGCCCCCGGCTCGGCCGACATGGCGGCGGTGCTGCAGCAGGTCCTGGAGCGCACGGAACTGAACAAGCTGCCCAAGTCTGTGCAGAACAAACTTGAAAAGTTCCTGGCCGACCAGCAGTCCGAGATCGATGGCCTGAAGGGGCGGCACGAGAAATTTAAGGTGGAGAGCGGTAAGTAAGACGCTCTTCGCGCCCCGCGGTCTGGGCGGGACTCGGAGCCGAGGCTGGTCCTCTCTCCTGACCTGCCCGCTCTGGCTGCGACGTCCCTGGGAGCACCGAGTCCTCGCTCCGTGGGCACCGCGGGCCCGGTCTTCCCTGCTCCTCTCACGCTTTGAGACGAAAGGAGCCTTTTTGTTCGTTTGTTTGTGTGAATCTGAATCCACAGTCAGGTCTGTTGTCTTTGAAATCAGGGTAGTCTCCTTATAACAAGAAGTTGTGAAGATTTGGGGTCTGTTTATACCGGACTAAAGAGTCTGCATCCCCTGTCTAAGCCGGGAGTGCCCTGTCTGTACGTTTCACGGAAAACTGGTGATTTCCGCCTGTCTGTCGTCTGGGCCCCTGCCTTCAGAGGCCTTTGGCCAATTGACTGCTTCGTGCACTTATTTTGAGTGTGTGTTGCTCTGGTCCAGGAGGAACTAGATGTTCAGAAAAATGAGTAGGTGCATAGGACGGCGTTGCAATGAAGCGAACGTGCAGTAAATAAGTTTAATATATCGGACTTTATATCTAAAAGTGAGAGTTTAGCAGAGAACATGTTAAGACCTATTATTAATACCTGCAGTAGACCCTTAGATAAGGGCAGAGTTACCGACAATAGTGACTTGAGCATCCTTGATGAAAGGTTAAGAGCTAGTACCATTAGTAAAATCCAACTTCCTGCTGTATGCCTTGGTTTATCAGTTGTTTGGAGTAATTGGTACTGGGTTTTAGTAAGTTGATTGAAAATTCTGAATAAATTTTTACTTCAAAAACTAGTTATCAAGTAGGGTTGATGTGTTAAAAATGAATTCTCTGGGTCCCAAAAGTGAATATGGTACACTGCACTCTATTCATTAATTGACAATAAATATTGAGTACCTTTGATGTGCCTGATACAGTGCTGAACAGCATACTCAAGTCCCTTCCTGTGGTAAGTTAACACATTTGTTTTTACATAAGTGTAATAATTTTATACTTTTGGTATTTTGGCTATTTTAACACAAGCCTTTTAAAACAAAGTATTTTTTAATCTAAAATTTTTCTCCACTTAATAAAGCTTACTTGGCTGCTTTATGCTAAACTGTCTACTGATGTGTGGGGAAAACACTGAGATAAGACATGCTACCTGCTTTGAAGAAGTTTGGAATCTTGTGGGATAGACAGACAAGTAATTTGTAAAATCCCCCTCAGGCCTTATTTTCTTTTGTCATATGCTTATAAGTCAGTTGGAAATATTGAAGTCATTTTCAGTGCTAGATGTATTTACCTTTATCTAAATTCTCTTACTTGGAGTACAGTTCCAATCCTGTGCCTTAAATTTTTAAATGAAGCTTATTAAAAATAAGTAGCAGTATCGAAATTGTGAGTACATCTGTGTTTGATTTTCTTTTTTTCTCTGCTCTTCTGTAGAACAACAGTACTTTGAGGTAGAGAAGAGGCTGTCCCACAGTCAGGAGAGACTTGTGAATGAAACCCGAGAGTGCCAAAGCTTGCGGCTTGAGCTAGAGAAGCTCAGTAAGTATTTAATTGCATCTTTATAATATTCATGGCATATTGAGCTCTTCAAACACCTTCGTATGCTTTGGAAACATTTACTGTATATAAAAATATTCTCATTTATGGTAATATTTTGGTTTTTGATTCAGTGGTTAAGACCGTAAAAGAAAATAGGGTTTAGTGGTCAGGAGGCCCGGGCTCTAATTCTGAGTGCTATTTTAAAGCTCTTTTGCCATATGTAACTCATAAACGTGCCTGACTGTTTATAAAATGGCTAAAACCACATGCCCGCCTACTTACACAACTGTACAGATCAAATGTGATATGTTGGAAAGTATTTTGAAAAAAGCAATTATGCAACTGAAAAGGTAAAGATAGTGACTTAATTATTTTTATATTGTTGAAAAATTAAAACCTATTCCATTACGTTTGTTTTAACTCTTTTTGTTACAATTTTTGTAAATATTCTTTAATCTCGGGATATTTCCTACTTAATCCTAGTTCAGGTGAAAGATGAGTAGCTAATTTCTTAATTCATTTTCTAACATCAAGTCCTAGAAGGTACACAAGATCTTAGTTAAAGTTCTTTGACGTGTCTTGGGAAGATGATATGTATTTGCTTTGTCTACAGTAGAAGAAAGCAAATGTCAAAAAAGATCTGGGTAGAGTAGGGACATAATACTTGTTACTAGATATAGCTGGATTTTAACTTGATTAGGAACTCAGGAAGCTAACAATAAGAATGGTTAAAACTTCAACCTTCTTTCTTAACCAGGTTTGTGCCCATTGGCTATTTGTTTGGGTCATAATTTTTTTCCAGCTAATTTTGGCACAACTCATTTTTAAAACATGGCATACATAGGATGATATGGTATGGATACATGTGTAATGAGGGCATAAGTACTTATTGAGTAACTAGATCCAGTTTATTATCTATAGGTCGATTTGCCTTGGCCTAATAAAAAGGTCTTTACAGTAGCAATGCTAAAGAATTTCAAGAAAATGACTGATTACATCTGCTTGTATGAGATCTGGGAGAGGGAGGGGAAGATGGAGATAAACCAACACAGACATGTTGGCTAGAATGATCACATGGAATTTTGGAGACGAGATAGAAATACAGTAAATTTGGGATATATTTATGAATTTGGAATACGGTGTATAATAGTCTTTCTGAGATTCAGTTTCTTAATTTTAAAGTATGTGTGGGTGGCAGTTGGATAAAACCTGTTCATTGCAAGTTTTAAGCCTATGTGTGTATGATCACAAAATTCCTTTTATCCAGACAGTCAAATGAAGGCACTAACTGAGAAAAACAAAGAACTTGAATTTGCTCAGGATCAGAATATTTCCATTCAGGTAAATGTTATTCCTGTGAATAATTATAAGCATGATACTTCAGGAAGTTTTCTATTCTGATTTTATTAGTTATTTAGTCAATGAGAAGATGAAACATATTCTGTTAGGAGAAGCTACTAACAAAAACATGTATACATAAATTTCTTAGTTGGATCTTTATGTTTTATTGATAGATTGGACATTTCTTTTACTCCTTAGAATATATTGGTATTTGTTATTTAAAAAACACTTGTTTTTAGCTCTGAAGCACTCTTAGGTTGTGATTTTTTAAATTATCATTTTAAGTATAGTCCCATAGAATTAGACGTAGGATAGATATTCCGAGGTCCATCTATCTATCTACTCGCCCCCTTATCTACCTGCCTTCCATCTTTACTTTCTCTCAGAAATTGCCTACTTAATGCGGACTGTTGCCCAGGCACTGTGTCAAGTATTGTGATACAGTTGGGCATATGAGTGGGTTCACATCGGAAACCACTTCCTTAGATTAGTGTTATGAATAGCAGACCGAATGCAATTACAAGGGTTGTTAGCCAATTTGTCTGAGTGGTCATGCCCTGTGATTCTTTAACCGGAAGGCACTTTAGACTCTTTTCCATTGCTTTTTTAAAATTTGCATTTGATTTGAGTTTGAAAGGCACAAGAAAAAGTTAAGAGGGAAAATGGGCAAAGCAATTTTTAAAAAACAGGAAGCTGCATAAATGGTTAATGGCAATGTGAAATGCTCTGTTTATGAGCAGAAAAATGCAGGTAAAACAAAGGTAATGTAATTGTTTTTCAACTCCCTATATTAACAGTAATTTCTTTGTTTTTTGTTTTGTTTTAAGAACAATCGATACTCTTGGCTTGGGCTTGAGAATTGCTACTTATGACTCAAAAGCATATTAATTGTTGTTGTCTTGCTACAAAGCAATTTGACTAAATACATTAAGGGTTTTAAGTAACTCCTTTTCTAGGGATCTTCTCTTGAGAAATAATTTGAACCAAGGTATAAATGTAGTGACAGCAAAAAATTAGGAGCAAATTAACTGTCCTACAAAGGCATGTTTAAGTAGGACATTTCCGAGTGATAGTGACATGAGTTTTTTCATGAGCCAAGGAAAAATAATTTTTAAAAATCCAAAACATGAACAGAAATGTTGAGGGTATAGGTAATT